GAATGAGGGGGGCCTTATTTACCACGGACCTGGCGTTGCATAACATCAGCCGATGATCCCGGGCCCGAGGATCTAAAGTCCCTGGAAGCCGAGTAGAGCCCTGAGGATCGGAGCACCCACAAGCTTGTAAGCAGCATGTGCGTGCTCCCAAAACCCGATATGGTCCTCTGCTCCCGCCATATCTGCCCCTCCCACTGACTGTACTAATCACACCACCCTCTCTTAACCCCCCAGTCTCCTCCCTCACCGTTCCGCGCCCCTCAGACAGGACTGGCCTTGGCCTCAGAGAGGGCTCCCCCAAGTCCCCCCGGGCCAACCCCGAACCCCCTAAAAATTTGATAAAACACCCCTCTAAGAAGACTCTCAATTTTTTTCTCCTTAGTTCCCCTCTTGCTGTATACCACCTCTCGGGGTTCCACACCCCTTCATTGAGGCAGGCCCTTGGGATGGTATTGGGCCATGCCTGCGCGATGGGGGAATCGTGCAGGGCCAGCAGTTCCTTCCTGGGATACAGTCCAGTCCACAACAGGAAGTCCAGCAGCAGAGAAGGGGGGGGGAAAGTCCTCATGATGGATTAATCTTGGTCAGGGGCCTGAGATGGATGAAGAAAAAGTAGCAGCAGCAGTTTGTTGTTCTCGTTGTCCCCCATGGGACAAAGTATCTTAAGCTGATACAAAGTTGCAAGAAGTTAGGGCTGGAGTACATAGGTCCTTTCCCAATAGTGAAAGTTGTCAATCCAGTGACAGTAGAGCTAAGACTACCAAGGTTGTTGGGTAAAGTGCACCTGGTATTCCATTGCAGCTTACTGAAGCCATTCAAGGAATCCACACTGAAATCAGTAGGGATGACGGCTCCTGCCCCAATAGTGGTAGAACAGGAAACACATTATGAAGTTAAGCAAATCCTCAATTCCAGAATCCACCAGGGGAAATTGCAGTACTTAATCCAATGGGAGGGCTATCTGATGTCAGAATCTAGATGGGTAAAAACCCAGCACGTAAAAGCGGATCGTTTGGTAAAATGATTCCACACAAAATACTCCTGGAAGCTGGGACTACTACAAGGGAAAGATTAGAAAGCATTGATGTGTATTCTTTTTGTTTTCCAGGTTCCCTTTCCTTCCTAGGGGGGGCAACATGTCAAGCTATGAAACCTACTGTCTTTAGGACTGCTGCATGCTTCTAACTTGCCAACAGTGTGGGAGGGAAAGAGGGGAGAGTTTTGAGTCCACAGGTGTTCCTTATCAACGTGAGAGTCAAAGCTGTTGAAGAGTTGTTTTGGCAGACTAAAGTTTCTTCTCATAATAATTACTGGAAGATATATTGGACAGTGTGACCTGAACTGTCAGAGAAGGGAAGGAAAGTTTCATTCTTTTAATTAACTGCTTCCTGCCATTTTCTCAGAGCTAGCTTTATTTCCAACATACCAATTTGCTAATGCCTAATAAAGAATACATTAGAGAATGCAATGTCTCTGGTGTTTTGCTTTGTTGGGCTTCTCAGCCGGAACTTGACAGCTGCCAAGAAAAAATGGTTTGGACTGTGAAATTTGTGTTACAAAACTAATAGTTATTGCATTCGGAAAATGGGGGAGACTATCAGATTGGACCTTCTAGGAAAATCTACAGCAGTTCTTCTAGCCAACAATAGTGCATCAAAAAAGTTTTCATGAAAATAAGTGTAGCTGTATTTCAGACCAAACTTCCTGGAACATATTTCTCTTTAAATATTCCCAAAACATTGCCTTTCATTAGTATAAAGGAAGTTGCTAGAGTGATAACACAAATCTCATTATCCTCTAAGAGTGAACTCAATAATTCATTAATGTAGCAAATATTTTCTTTATGTAACATTCAAAATATATTCCCCTCATCTTTTAAAAGAGATCTAAAACTGTTCTGAAAGAATGCAGCTCTACTTTGTATAGGATGTGCACCAAAATTAATGGCACTTAGGATACTTAAGTTTATTTCAATGGAGTTACCCTTATTAAATACTGTATGCAATTTTTAAGAAGGATCTTCCACTTAAAAATTATATGGAAAAATGTACATCAATTTGAAAAGCCATAATTGTCACTTTTATAACATCTTCTAAAGTTTATTTACAAAGATGGAACAAATTACAGGGGAAAGAGAAATTAAAAGTAATCTTACCTTGCATTCAAACAGAAAACAGACCTCTGAGTCTAAATATACCGATTTTCTTTCTCCTTCAAAATAGGTTTTGCCTTCAAATACACAGATTTCTATAAAGTTAAAAAACAGAACAATACTCTGGTACTTAGATTCTGTATAATTATACGATGCTCCAAGATATGTTTACACCACGTAACAGAAAACTCTAGGTATTAGACATCATTTAAATATCACTTAGAAATATAGTAATTCTTACTAGCAGCTAGAATTCATTAATCAGTATTGCATTTGTATGTGAGGGAATGATTATTCAGGCTAGGATCATTCTGTTTTCCTTTTGTTGCCAAGCAAAAGAGACAGTAAATTTATTTACTTAAATAGTAAATAAATACTT